CAGGCCTGCTTGCTGACCCTTTTTATTGGTATGACAGCTCTGCATAATTAAAGTTGTACAAGGCTGACAACTAGAGAAAGGAGGCATTACTATACATCTTTTTTGTAATGTAATTCCTTAATGCCAAAAAATACTAATTTGGGAAATATTTCATAATTTTCCTAGGATAATAAGTAACGAATGTTCAGATTAAAGGCGAGGTGGTTTCTAGCATATTTACTGTCTATCTTTTTAAATCTATTTACTCCTTTGCTGGAGGACCCGGACATTGGCAAAAAAAATTACACAAAACTTCAACACATCAAAGACAGAAAAGAATGACAAAAGTATTTAAAATGAGTACAAAGTAAAGAAGAAAACAATGCACAAAATGTGAAACACTCATCTTATGTCTTATCTTATACCTTCCTAAAAGAAGCTGGTGTTTTACTGCAATAATACTGAGCCAGAGAGAAAAGGTCCTCTATATCTTCTAGATTCAAACTGGATGGCGTCTTTTCCAAGAACTCTGAAATACAATTATGAGATATAATACAACATCTTAAAAACTGCCATTAGAGAATATACTAATTAGTATCTTTTATGAACAAAGCTGAAAAATTTTCACCATAACTTCTAAATCTGCTTAGGTGAGAAGGAGATTGCCTTATAAGAGTTGGAATTGTTAATGGAATTAAGCTATTAGGGAATAACAATGTTAGGTAATCAAGTCAAATCAAATCCATTTGCCTTAGTTGGTATACTCTGGTTTATTTATTCAATACACGTTAAGGGATTGATTCCCTAGGAATCAAAAAAAAACCAAAAAAACCATGAAAGAGTTCCTGACATCAAAAACGCTGTCTTCCGTCAGAAACGTAAAAATAATTACAACACAGCAAAATAAACACATTATTATTGCCTAAAGTACAAAGCACCAGGCAATGTAGAGTTACTGTCTCTGTGGAGGGGTTAGAGTGAAGAGAACTCAGAGGACCAGGGCTTTACAATACTGTTGTTGTTAGGTGCCAATAAGTCGGTACCGACTTACAGCAACACTACGGAGAACAAAATGAAACCCGGGTTGGTCCTGCGCCACCCTCACAATCATTAGTATTGTTTGAGTCCATTACTGCAGCCACTATGTCAATCTATTTCATTGAGGGGCTTTCTCTTTTTCACTGCCTCTCCACTTTACCAAGCATGGTGTTCTCCAAGGACTGGTGTCTCCTTATAACATGTCCAAAGTATGCGAGACAAAGTTTTACCCTCCTTGCCTCTAGGAACATTTTGACTGTACTTCTTTCAAGAAAGATCTGTTTGTTGTTTCTGCAGTCCATAATAAGTTTCAATATTCTTTGCCAACATCATAGTTCAAATCTGCCGATAGCTTCACTGTAAAGCCTGATGATGAAGGGTGTACAATGGTGCTAACATACAAAGAGGCTTCAAAAAGTTCGTGAAAAAATTCCATTATTTTTCAATTCCATTTTCCTGCAAATGCCTTGCAGCTCCCTCATATCACTGAGTATGGGAAGTAAATTAAGGAAGGGCGAGAGAGAGGAAGAAGAGAGATTTCTACTTGAACACTGAAATCAAAGAAATAAATATGGAAAGAAATGGAAGAGTGAAAAAAATAAAAGAAATGAAGGGAGATGATAAATTCAGGGATAAAAGGCCTAAAAACTCTATAGAGTTTTTATAAAATTTTAGAGTTGAGTAGAATCTCAGAGCTCTCCTAGACTAAATTTATAAACTTTATGAATGCGGAAACTAAAGCCTTAGAGATTAAGTGATTTACAATGTTCCCTCTACAGTAAATGATACTTACGGATAATGTCTTCTTTACTGTCTGACTCTTGCACTAAAATAAATTCTCTGTAAACGGGAATGAAATAGATTTGCATTAAATATTAAGAAATAATCCTGAGAAAAGAAAGGAGAGAGAAATCTAACCATCTTAATACTCACTTTGAATTAACAAGGATTATTAACATTAAGAAATAAATAAAAAATGGATCTGCATGCTGTAGATATCCATCCCAAATTGCTTGGGTGACTTCAGTGGAACAGTAACAAGCAAAAAGGCTTCCAAGCTGCAATTAGGAAGTGAAATAAGAGCTATAAATCATTTGGTATTTTTAAAATATTAAAGCAAATACTTAAGTAGCATTACATCAAATTGCCTTCACCTGAAATGTAAGGTGTACCTTAATTTTAGTGTATGTAATCCAAAGGCAAATATGGACAAATGCAGACCCTTATTAGCCATGCAATTTGGGACCTGCCACTTAACCTCTTTACAATCCATTTCTACTTCGTTAATTTAAAAAAACTACTACTACTACTCATCTTCTATCATTGCTATGAAGAGATATGCTTAACCTAAAATATTTAATGTAATTAGCACATATTTGCCATAGAAAAATAAACAGCATAGAACCTTATAAAGGGTAAACAGCATATTTATTTTTAATAATAGAAGAATACTCAACTTACAGGGAAATTATGAAGATCAAACATGGTAATTTAAATTAAGAGGGCTTTTTAAATTTGAATGACTAAAAACATGTATGTAAATTGTTCCCAAAGCTTATTTGTACACTATTTGGAATATACACAGACAGCATTCATATCCCTCATTGAATTTCAGGAGCTCTGTGGTTTCCACATTTCAAATAAAGGAATTGTTGATATTTAAGTTTATTTAGAGTTCAATTGTGTTTACATAAAATGAATTCAGATCATTATTAGGTCATTCACCTTTCATTAGACACAGAGACATTGCTGTCTAGAGATTTAAATTTAAAACAATTTTAATGATTAAAGAGAATTAATGAGAAAACATGCTTTTCATGCATATTTTGTCTTAGCTGTTAAAGCAGGATCACATTATCTCTTATTATCTCTTACTTTGATTCTCATAATAGGCCTGCAAAACACATATTTTCCTCGTGACTTTACAGGTGAGGAAATAGACTTGGATAAGATAACTTTCCCAAGGTCACAGAATTAGTAAGTAACAGCACTAGAATCAAAAAAAGGTCTGTGACTCTATACCCATATTATCACCATTGTATTTAGCGTTAGGGTTTTAAAAAAAACTGGTAGGGTTTTGTTTGATTTGAAAATTACTATTACAGATAAAGATGGAAAGATACATATACTAATATCATAACATATAGGCATTCTTTTAAAAACTCACTTAACTGAAGTTATTACTGCATTACTGTTACAGTTCACTAGGTTTAGAAGTCATTTCAATGGTTTAGTTCATGGTTTGAAAAAAAATGTTTTTTTTAAATTCACTTGTCAGACAATACTGGTAGCAAAAATAATTTTTGGAATCTGTGGGTGATGCACACAATTAACAGGTTCTGCTGCAAACAAGAAGTTGGGGAACGGAGCCCATCCAAGGCCATCAACTTATTGGTCTTAAATCAGTCAATAAGTGGCAGAAATGGAATTCTTTCTAAAGAAAAATCAGGTGATAGATAACTAAGGGATGAGATTAATTTTTTAATATATCTTCTTCCAGCACCTAATCATTATTTTAAAACCATCTTCAAGTTCATCCAGAAGAGCAGTTCTCAAAAGTGTGCTCGGAGTACTCCAGAAAGTCCCCAAGTTTTTATGGGGAGGAGGGTTGCTTGTGATGCCAAAACAATACTTATATTTTACTTGTTCTTTTCATTTCTTTTTCACAAGTGAACACGAAAACATTCCCAAGGACTACATTATGTATATAATATAAGCTGAATAAAGTAGATATAAGAATCCATCTGTCTTTGATAAGCCTAAAGTTAAAGATTTATACAAATAATTTTTTGTTTGTTTTTGTTTTTAAATCATTTTATTGTGGCTCGTACAACTCATTATAATCCAGACATCCATCCATTGTGTCAAGAACATCTGTGCATTTGTTGCCATCATCATTCTCAAAACATTTGATTTCTACTTCAGCCCTTGATATCAGCGCCTCGATTTATACAAATCTGAAAGAATGCTACCAGTTTTGCTAAGGTGGGAGGGAGCTATGGTTATTTTCTAAAAATAGTTGTCTAATAACACAACACATTTACAGCTATTTTTTAATATTTGAAAATTTTTTGGTTTTTTCCGTAAACATCAATATAGCCCACATAAACAATGAATCTTCATTCATTTTTAAGAGTGTAAGGGGTCCCGAAGAGAGCCCTGGTGGTGTAGTAATTATGTGTTACGCTGCTAACAGTAAGGTTAGCAGTTTAAAACTACCAGCTGCTCCATGGGAGAAAAGTGAGGCTTTTTACTCCCCTAACGACTTACAGTCTCAGACACCCACAAGGGCAGTTCTACCCTGTCCTACAGCGTCACTATGAGTTGGAATTGACTTACTGGCATTGAGTTTTGGTTTGAGAGACAGGGTCTTGAGGCCAAAGGTTTGAGAAGCATTGACCTAAATAATAATACTTCCCATTTAAAATTCAAGTATAAGTTCAAGAAGAAATAACACTGTTTTGAAACTGACTGTGGTGGCAACTGTACAATGCTACTTGATGTGACTGAGCTATGCAATGTTCTATCTGTAAGAGCTCCCAATAATATAAGTAAATTCAAGTATAAATGATAAAGCAGTGAGTATACTTTATAATTTTAATGATTTGTACAGTCTTAACTGATTTTCCACATTAGTATATGCCAATTATTCATACCATGACCAACCAGTTTTAAATTGAACTGATTTCTATATACCCACACAAGTACATACATCTACACATTTCCATATAAATATGTATACATACATATAGATATGTACTATCTAAAACAGGAGAATGCTAACTTTCATATTAACACTATCTTTAGATTAAATGAACAGCAAAAAAAAGGTATTTAAAAATGAGTAATTATATACCTTTAATTTAAGTAGTAATGATCTATAATTTAGTAATATCTTTTTCTTCCTGGGGGAGGGGGACACATTTAACTATAATGTTCTAGAAATCTATTTTTCATTAAATGTTCCTACTTTCACTTTATTACCCAGTTGAGTGCATAGGAGTCTGGAGTAATTTTCTTTGTATCAAGAAAAGAGCAAAGTTCAGGCTCATGGTACTGGATGAGTAATCGGAAGAGATGAAATGGTCTCCCCTTCAGGGAACAATCCCTGGAAGACAAGAAAAGCGATGAGTTTTGCTTTAATCTGTTAGAAATTATTACATCAGTAACCAACTCTGGCAATACCCACCTCCTCGCCCCACCCCCTGAACACTTCAAAACCACAAGTCTCAGCAAGCCTATTTGATACAATCTGGCAAGATGATCTTTAATATACCTGAAAGTTTAAGGAAAAACAGATCTGCAACTTTGGGGGATTCCCTACAGGTTAAGCAGCACTCAATCAAGAAAGGTGACATGAACTACTGACAACAGCAAGAGCACTCACTCAGGCAATTTGGGAATTTTGAAATTTGGGAAATCTTGAGTTTTAAAAATTAGTTTTCTTTCCTGCAAAATAAGAGGCAACCCCTAGGAAGGTTTCAGGTTAGCTACAGAGTCAATGTAGTCAATTAGGAATGTACTTCAAGGCTGAAATGCTACAAGTGAACCTTTAGAAGAGTCACTGCAGAGCCTCAGAAGCTGGCAGATGGCCTGGATATAAAAGCTCAGGATGAATTCCAGGAGGTGCCAAAAACTGCGCTCATCCACCAATGGCAAACTTTGCAGTTACTATCGTGTTTCCAATGGTTATTGTGAGAGTAAAATGGGAAAGTTGACTGTGAACACTGTTCTAAAGTAAAAAGCACCAAATATTTAGTCCACCATTTTTGTTATCACAATACCTGTTTTAAACAAACATCACATTTCACTGCAAGAGAGGAGAATTATAAAAGGCCTCCGTATGCAAACTAGGTCGTGGATTCGCTGCAGTTTCTAGTTACCATAGAGTACTTCTGGCTACCCAGCTTTAATGAAGATTCCTCTCCCCAGGGTCACAGAAGACACACTCAGGCCCCACACCCAGGTACCGAAGCACCTGACTCATGGGAGGGCAATGCATTGGATCAAGTCTAGTCACAGCCTTCAGAAAGCCAGCTGTTTCCTCCTTCCCACTCAATCTGCAACCTTGAACTCCGAAAGCCTTATCTTTTAAATCCCACATCAGCAGCAGTTTTGAAAACGTTTTGTGCTTATAGGACCTGTTAGGTACCATTGGATTCACATTTATTCATTTTATTGTGTCCATTTTTGCAATGCCTGAAATCTTAACTGAGTTACTTTACGGAAAAAGAATCTCTTAAAAGATATGAGATTTTTGGTGGCGATAATCTCATTGAATATCAGGAAATAATAGTTAACTTTTTAAGCACTGCATTTTTAAAAAAAATCAATACTGTAAACTTATCATCAGAAAATTTGGATAGTTACAATGTAGTGTTAAAATATGAACAAGGTGACAACTAACTTAATCTTCATTTGGACTAGGATTTACTCATTCATAATTATAAACTATCACAATCAGCATCTGTACTGAGATGCATTCTACTAGTCAAAAGGGAATGAGGCAACAATGTGTCTAATGAATCAGCAAAAAATTACAACAGCTCAAAGTACAAGTCATTACAATAAAAATCCCTATCTGCACTTTGGGAATACCATGTGCCTGGCACTTAGTAAAGTTACTCTAGCTTTATAAAACAGATATTACTTTATCTCCATTTTACAGAACAGGTGAAAAAATTGAAGTCTAACTGAGGTCAAGTAGCTCACCCAAAATCACAGTACTAGGAAGTGAAGTTAAGATCTGTACATAGAAACTGGGCATAACATATTCTGTATTTCTATAAGTGATATTTTGACAGGAGTACATGCTCTAGCAAAGCAAACATAAATACATTGAGTTATCATTTCACACCGACTACACTCAAACCAAACTCATTCCATCCAGTCAATGCCAACTCATAGAGACACTATAGGACAGGGTAGAACAGCCCTTGTGAATTTTGAAGACTAACTCTTTACGGGAGTAGAAAGCATGTCTTTCTCTCATGGAAAGGATGGTGGTTTCAAACTGTTAACCTTGCAGTTAGCAGCCCAATATGTAACTACTATGCCACCCAGGTCCACTTCATACCCACCAGGATGGCTATAATAAAAAAAGTGAATATTAAATGAAGGTATGGAGAAATTTGGTTCCTGGTACACGGTTAACAGGAATGTAAAATGGTGCAGTCACTGTGGAAAAGTAAACAGAACTATGATACAATCCAGCAATTCTATTCCACTCCTAAATATATACCCCAGAGAAATGAAAATAAACGTCCATGTCAAAACTTGAACACAAATACTCATAACAGCATTATTTTTAATAAAAAACCCTAATTACCCATCAATTTAAGAATGGATACATAAAATATGATACAGCCATAAAATGCTATTTTTCAGAAATAAAAAATGAAATATTGATACATGCTACAATATGGGATGAACTTTAAAAACATAATCAGTAAAATAACACAAGCATGAAAGATCACATATTTGATTCCATTTACAGGAAACATCCAGGATAAATAAATGCATAGAAACGGAAAGTAGATTAGTGGTTGCCTCCACTTGATAGTGATGGTTAGGTTTTTATGGTTTTAAAGCTGGAAATGTTGGGCAGAAATGGGAGTGACAGCTAATGGGTATGGTGTTTCTTTTTGGGAGATAAAAATCTTCTAAAGTAGATGTGGTGATGTTTGTCCAACTCTGAATAAACTAAAGACCACTGAATTGCATACAATAAAATGATGAATTTTAGGACATGTAAATTACATCCTCATAAAGCTGTTACAAATAGAAAAAGGAAGAATATATAACTATACATTCTTCAGTTGATTCTAACAAGCAACCCAAGTGGAAAGTCACATCAGTAAAACAGACGTGTTCATCTAAACTTAGGCTCAAATCCTCACTTAGTCACATGCCAGGGCCATAATCCTAGACACACTTAATCTTCCTTGACTGAGTTTCTCTATTTGTAAATATATCTTATAAAAATTAAGTTACATATATCTTATAAAAATTAACCAAAAATGAGGTTGCCTGCTCCCACAAATATTTAAAGTCTCAGAACTGGCTTGATGGCAGTGGGTTTGGTTTATTTTAATGTAGTGTATTGTTATACAGAAAGTAATAACAAATGGTAGTCATTTAACTATCAAGGTCCAAAAGAGCACTTTACCCTAATTGCACATCTTAACTGGGAACTTCTACATAAACATGGAAATCTGCGTCCCATTGCCAAGCAATTCTAACTTAAATCTCTTTAGGTGCACAAACAGGGATCTGGACTTTTAAAAGTTCTCCCAATGATTTTCACATGGCCTAGATTATATCTAAAATTCTCTTTAGCACTAAAATTCTTACTATCTGAACCATAGCACTGGGAACTGTAACAATGCTAGTATCATGATTGGCCCTGTCCTTATTGTTACTACAACCACCTAGACCTTTGGGCTCAAAGCTAAACGTTATTTGCTCAAGGAAGTTATCCCTGACATGCAGAGTACACCAGGCCCCCCATTGTATACATTCCCACAGAATTCTATAGGTCACCTTCCTAAGATTACACTTACACATATTTGACAATGCTTGCAAGTACTAAGACTATATTCTAAGCTGTAACCCCACCACCTTGCATAAAGTAGCAATCCAATTTTAGAATCTTCACTTACATATTGTGATGTTTTTACTTTATAGATAAAAAATAAATGAAATAGGGACACTAAATAAACTGTAAGTCATGCTAGATATATAAGTCCTAAAAGTATACATTCTTAACTAAAAAAAAACACAAACTTTTAAAATGCCTAAAGCCACAAAAATAAAGTCCGATATTAATAATTATTTGAACGCTACCACCAAACCAAACCTAAAAACTTTAGTCAGAGCAAACTATACCTTATTCTCCTTTAAAAACTGTTAATAACTAAATCATATTTTACCTTGGAATGTACTTATTCATGATAGCATAAAAGCAGTTGTACAAATCACTGCGCGGCAGTTGAAGATGCACCAAGGGTTTGAGCAGATGTATCCAGCTAAGGGATGTATTATATTTAATGTTGCGTGATTTACAATAAAAGGTAATTACAGATTCAATATCCAACAGTAATGCTGCTGACTTCTCCTCTGGCACTGAAAGCTGGTCTGGAAAACAAGTGTCAAAATAAAAGTTAGCAAGTGCCTTTTAGAGGTTTAGGTATTGGGCATATAACACTCGTTTACAAATATGCAATACTATGATAGCGTATCTAGAGCATGACAATGGGAAATTAAAGCTACATGAAAACACATTTTCCTTACATTCATTTCAATAATCACTGGACCTACAGATCCAAAATCCAAGGGGAAAACCCCCTTCAAACTCAATAGAATGTTCTTGTTTTAATTTTAAAGCAAGAGAATTGTTTAAGAAAATGAAGAATTAGTTTCACTTAAGTCTATATTTTCTTATTTACCCCAAGAGAGAAGAGAAAGGGAAAGACAATCCCTGGATAGTCAATACTTATGTTTAGAACAGCAGTTCTCAACCTGGGGGCTCGAACAACCCTTTCACAGGAGTTGCCTAAGACCATTGGAAAACAAATAAATACTTTACAATATATATTGTTTTGTGATTAATCACTATGCTTTAATTATCTCCACTTTGTAACAATGAAAATATATCCTGCATATCAGATATTTACATTACAATTCATAACAGTAGCAAAATTAGTTATGAAGTAGCAACGAAAATAATTTTATGGTCGGGGGTCACCACAACATTAGGAACTGTATTAACGAGTCACGGCATTAGGAAAGTTGAGAACCACTGGTTTAGAATTTCATTTAGTAATGCTTGACTTGCATATACGTGAAACATTAGAACACCCAGTCTGAAATAAAGGTAGGAAACAATAAGCACAACCCACATTGCAGGAAAGCAAAACACGTTTTCTAAGCAAGGTTATCCTCTATGTCATGCTGGGTAGCTGCCGCCAAACCTTTGGCAAGGGGAGGGAAAGAGATCCATTTTTGTCACCAAATTCCCTTTCCTTTCCCCACAATGGCAATAATACTTCTTCTAGAGCTAATACACGGAAGACTCTTTAACCAATAGTTTAACTAAAATATGGTGTAAAGAAAAAAATTCAAACCAATGGTTAGTATATGAACTAAACAGAAATACATAAATTAGTTTAATCAATGTTGTGAATTGGCTTGGCCCTTGTAAAGTTATTGGAAACTATTCACCTGTGATTTACAACAATACAGCAAATAACAACCTATTATTTCCAGATAAAACTTTTTGGTCACTGTCCTTTTTAAAATATACAGCTCTTTAATTATACAAAAAAACAAATTTAATATTGTCACAAAACTCTTAAGTTTAAAAAAACTGTACACGAAGAATTGGATATAATACAAAAGAAACAGAGTAAAAACTAGGTTTTCTTAGTTAGTAGACAAGTCAAAATAATTTTTAAAGATGTTAATCGATTTATTTTTGCATTTTAATAATTTTTTTATCGTTTTATTAGGGGCTCATACAACTCATCACAATCCATAATGTGAAAATAATTTCAAAAGCAAATTCTTGAAACTACTCATAAATTCTTTATAATTCAACGTATTATTGCAAGTTATAATCAGATAGCTGTTAATTCCCTGACTCAAAACTTAATGTTTCAAAATTTTGTATCACTTGAAACAATACTAAACTTACCAATAAGCTCTTGGCAATCATCATGAAGATTGTTTTGTTCGGGCAGATCTAAAATACCATCCCATGATGCCAAACTATCACCTTTTCCTGCAACATTGAGAGCAATCTGGAAGAATACACAAAGTAATTATCTTCATATTTTATTACTCATTCAAAGACTAGAAAGTAACATACCATACATACTCCTGTATAAGCCGGGCTTTTCAGCACATTTTTAATGCAGTTTTTGTGGTAAAATTAGGTGCCTCGGCTGATATTCGGGCCAGCTTTTACTTGAGTATATACGGTATCTATCTTCCACCACAATCTGCACTCTTAATCACATCACAATGAACCAACAAAATTACTTTAAACCCTTTTACATCAGTTTTATTGCTTCTGAACAGGTTAACAGAGTGGATTGCACAAAATATACAAATGTATTTCAAACAGGCATAATCTTGGTTTTCTTTAAATATATATAAACAATATGTGGTATTAACAAAGGGAAAACCTAGCTATACAATGTACAATTAAAAAATATATAGAAAACACCTAAATGAATTGGGAAAGTGGTATTCTATGTATAATTCTTTTTTAAACATATAAAGAACACCATAATGATTCCCCGAATCTTGAAGGGACACATCAACTAAATGCAGTGTGTGGGCCATCTAAAATTCTGATTTAAATTACCTGTAAAAATATATTTATTAGATAATTGAGGAAATCTTTTAATATTAAGGGTTATTGCTAATTCCTTATAAATATTTAATAATACCATAGTTATTATAGGGTGTTCCTCTCACCCCACCTACTTTCTACATGTTCACACCACAGTATATCAGAGAAAACATGTTACCAGAAATTTGCTTTAAAATAATCCAGTGTATGGAGTAGCGAAGAACATTGGTCAAAATATTTGGTAAAGCTGGATGATGGGTAACAGGGTCATTACACTGTTTTACATTTGTATGTGCTTTACATTCTACATGAGAAAGTTTATAAAGTTATAAAGTGTTGTCCAGTAATAATCCCATTTCTGCTACATATGTAGTGCAAAGAAAGAAAATGTAAAACAGATATGTCAATACATTACTACTGTTCTACTTGATTTCCAAGATTAGATAAATGACTTTTCTTTTATCCTTTGTGTTTAATAATTTTTAAAAGATATGTATTTATGATAGGAGAAAAAGATTTAAAATTTAAGAAATGAGGAAAGAAAAACCACCTATAACCTTGAAACTTAAAGTATTCCACTTTTTAAAAAATGTATGATAATTTGATTGTATATTTTATTTTATTCATAGGTTATATTTTCCTATATCATTAAGCCATCTTCATAAACATAATTTTCAATAGCAATGAAAGATATCAAACACGACAAAAACATACATTTTTGTGACCTGCTTAGTTTGACAAATTCTGTAGATACAGAATACTATACTAGTGTGAAATGAAACTTCCTTTTTAATATAATTTATTAGATCTTATTCATTTTAGGTTCTCGTTACCTTCCAAACTTTAGCCCTCAGATCAGTGGGCAGTGGTCTCCCTTGAATTATATTTCTCAGAGTTGCAAGATCACAACCTCCTGCTTCCAAAGCTTCTTCAAGGTCTTTGTCCCTGAAATACAAGTCCTATTTATTATAGTAAACGTCACATTTTTTTCTTAGTTAGCATTCATCTACACAGTCTGTTAGGGGACCTTAAAAAAAAGTTCTTAGTAGCCGACACGTATTGTCAAGGCACACACATCATCATGTACAAGGAGGCAACCTCCAAAAAACAAAAATTTTTTAAAATCATTTTATTAGGGGCTCATACAACTCTTATCACAATCCATACACACATCAATTGTGTAAAGTGCATTTGTACATTCATTGCCCTCATCATTCTCAAAACATTTCCTCTCCACTTAAGCCCCCTGCATTAGGTCCTCATTTTCCCCCTCCCTCATGAGCCCTTGATAATTTATAAATTATTATTTTGTCATATCTTGCCCTGCCCGACGTCTCCCTTCACCCACTTTTTTGTTGTCCGTCCCCCAGGGAGGAGGTCACATATAGTTCCAAAACAAAAACATTTTCTCAAAGCTATGTATTTTAATTTTTCAAAAACAACGTTATCACTTTCAAGTACTCTGCATTACGCTTAATACATTGGTCAAGATTGTGAATCCATTCTTGGAAACATTTTTCAAACTCATCTGTTTGGATGGCTGACAGCACCTCCCTTGTTTTTTTCTTCACCTCTTCTACTCATCAAATCGCTGTCCTTTCATGTCCCTCTGCATTCACGGAAACAAAATGATATCTCACGGAGTGAGGTCTGATGAGTCAGGTGCGCGGGGCATGCCGTTTTTTGTCTAAAACTGGTGTACTGAGATGGCTGCATGAGCAGGTCCACTGTCCTGGTGGCAAAACTAGTCCCGTCTGCCACAAATCAGGCCTGTTATTGTCACACACTGTTATTTATCTTTTCAGAATCTCTAAATAGAAAGCTTGATTAACAAGGCGACCAGGTGGAATGAACTCCAAATGCACTAGGAGTCGACATTTTTATCCATTCAGGAAGTTGAAACAGATGTCCAGAAAAAGGTTTGTCATCAATCAACATTTCACTTTTTTTGAAATGAGAAAACCATGAGTTTTCCCAAGAGTGCTGTCCTTGTAAGCTATGTCCAACATAACGACAGTTTCTGCAGCACTTTTCCAGAGCAGGAAACAAATTTCACAGCTGCATGCTGTTCTTTTAAATTGCTCCTCACAAAAAGAGGTTCAAGCCAAAGGGTTTTCATGAAAAAAATCACTGTAACCAGAGAGAACCTTCCAAGGTGACGCCACCTGATGCATTAACTCAGAGCGGGTTGCTTGATGCTGGCCTCGTGGGAAAATGCCTAGAACTACGATAGCTCTGCTCCACCCAGCGCAATCCCAGTTTTCTTGGGGTAGCCCTCGTATTTTGTTTTCTTGAGGGGTGAAGGTTTCTTGAATTAGCATATAGTCCATTTTATTCTAACAAGTTCAGTCAGTTGTTTTCCAAGATTCAAAACAAAAAGCCAACTTCACTGCCATCTAGTAAACTCTAACTCAGAGTGACCAGGTAGGCAGAGTAAAACCACCCCTGTGGGTTTCCTTGGCTGTAAATCTTTGTGGGAGCAGAAAGCTTCATAGTTCTCCCTCAGAGCTACTGGTGCTTGTGAACTCCTGACCCTTGTGGTTGACAGTCCAACATGTAATCCACTACACCAGCAGGGCTTCTTTTGCCAAAATTAGAACATTTTAAATTAAAGAGAAGACAGAAGCAAGCAGGCTATAGCATTTTGAAGTCAGAGTAATAGCAATAACACTTCATATAAACAATATTAACTATGTGCTGGGAACTATTCAAAACACTGTCTTTGAGTTCTTTTTTTAAAATCGAAGTCCTTTTCCCCCCCAAAAGCCATTCTATTGCGAGCTAATACAGGTATCATAACATTTAATAGTTCAATCACATCAAGCAGTATTGTACAATTGCTACCACAATCAATTTCAAGACATTATTTTCCTTACAGAACTCCTTAGTATCAGTTCCCTTTTACATCCCTCCACCACCACTGTACCCACACACACCCCCACCCCGGAAACCCTTATTCTACTTGCTGTCCCTATAGGTTCATCAATTCTGGGTTTCATACACTTAGAAAGAAAAAAACATATAACAAAAATTCAAGAGGATGACCCCAATGATATAACACATCCGAGATAAACCCTGATATGAACAAGCAAAAACAAAAATACAAAAATGTTGAAAACCATTTACATCATGTTAGACTATAAACAATAAGAAGATACCAAACAATTCAACAAAGAATTCAAAGAACCACAGCCTGGGACTAACAATAAGTTAATACTGGTTATATTCCCCACAGTGATACCTGGAGCCCTGTGGTATAGCAGTTACACATTGAATTCCTCCTAATCAACTTGATGGCATGAGTTTGAGAGTTTTCCAGGGATACCTGGCTTACAGTAAATAGTCAAAATGATATTATAACATCAAGTAAAGTACAAGTAAATCATAAAAAAAAACTCTTATGAGGTATGAATTGTTGCTTAACCAGATAATAACTTGTTTATTAAGAATCTTCAAAAGCTGAAGTTTCATTCGTTCATTGTTTGTAATTTTAGCATACTAAAAATAAATGTTCTTTACAAATAAGAAAATCTTCTAACCCAGACAATTTGAAAAATTATTTCAAATACTTTGAAACATTAGTTTAAAATTTACGACAGAAACCAGAGTATCCCACTAGGAATCAGGATACCAGGATTCTTGTCACTGTGATTTTGAAGGAAACAACTTACTCCAGTCCCTGATTCTCTAAATAATGTAGTAAGTAAAATAAATTTCTCCTACTTACAGGATACCGAGAACTTTTTCCTCTTAAGGAAAGGCTTTCATTGCATTAAATGGTAACTACTCAGGACTACATCAAACATAAAAGCACTGATCACATTTTAAAAGTTTCTTAAAGTTAATATGAAAAAGAAGTTAACTAGGAACTACACATACATTTTGTTCTTTTGCTATACTCTTATGAGCATTAAAGAGATGAAAGGGGAAGGGAAGAAGAGATTTAAGTCTTCTGATGACATACAGTTCAAGCCTGTATTTGCTAAGAAGTTACTCCATTCAGGCCAAAATATACAAGACAGTTTGTTAAAATTAGAAGGATTATTTGTGATCATGAATCAACAACAACGTTAACGCAAATGTTGGTGACTATACATCATGTTTTATGATTAAATGTGTAAATGAAAGGCACAAAAAAACACAATTTAAGAGGGGAAAATATTCCTTTATCAAGTAAATTAAGAACCAGATTTCCCCCCTATTTTTCAGTGAAAAACGCTTGGTTTCTCTTTCAAATAATTTTGTCAAATGTTAATTCTTCCAGACAATACTTGGGGGCAAAAGGCCCATTCGTCAAGAACTTTTAAAATCTTAATTATGTACAAGCATGTATCTGTTGATACAGCCGCTACTAAATTCTTGGATGCCCCCCCCCATTGTGGCAGCCACAAACATAGTCCAGCAGCATTAACCAAGAGACAAGAAAATGCTACACTTTTAAGTAGTAAAAGGCATTCGAGACAAACACAAATCATTAAGAATAATGTTATCATATGGCCGGCCCCACTATGAGACATGACATCCCTCACTGACCCATAGCCCTAGAGGGGACAACACTGGAGACAGTGTGGGAATTCCGCCCGATCTGATCCCACCACATCGAGGCAAAACACTAAGGGCGCAGAACAGAACAGCAAGGGGAACAGAGCAACGAAGTCCCCAGGGAATACCAAAAATAGACTTTGGGACCAGGGCGTGGCGCCCCAACAGACTTGACTGGAAAACACCCATAAAGGCCAACAAACAGTCCTTGAACTAACTACAAGCTTTCCTTTCTTGTTGTGTTTTGTTTTGTTTTTGTCATTGGCTTGTTGGTGATGGTGGTGGTGTTTTGTTTTCTTTTGTTGCTTGGTTTTGCTCTGTCTTGTTTTTGTGCATGTTATTATCTGTGCAGGGCTGTCTAAGTTAAGACAGGCTGGATGAACAATCTGGAGGAGAAAACAACGAGAATGACAATTCTGGGGGTCATGGGAGAGGGGGAGGTAGGGGGAAAGGAAGTGGTGTTAAACCCAGGGACAAGAGAACAAGTGATCCAAATCGGTGGTAAGGAGGGTGTAGGAGGCCTGGTAGGACGTGACCAAGGATAATGTAACTGAGAGGACTTACTGTAACCCAAATGAAGGCTGAGCATGATAGTGGGATAAAAGGAAAGTAGAAGAAAATAGAAGAAAAAGGTAGGAGGCAAAGGGTATTTATAGAGATCTAAATAAAGGCATGTACATATCAAATATATTTATATATGAGGATGTGGAAATAGATCTATGTGCATATATGTATAGATTTAGTATTGAGGTAGCAGATGGACATTGGGCATCCACTCAAGTACTCCCTCAATGCAAGAATAATTTGTTCTATTAAACTGGCATTTCATGATGCTCACCTTCCCCACACAATCACTGAAGAAAAAGCGGGTGCATAAGCAAATGTGGTGAAGAAAGCTGATGGTAACTGGCTATCAAAAGATATAGTACCTGGGGTCTTAAAGGCTTGAAGGTAAACAAGCGGCCATCTAGCTCAGAAGCAACAAAGCCCACATGGAAGAAGCACACCAGCTTGTGCGA